CCTTGGTTACTGTAATACTCATCACTGGTCTTCCTGCCTTGTCACCTACTCCCTTTCATTCTACCTACTGCTTCCTGAGTGATCTTTCTAAAGTTCAAATCTGATTGTGTTACTCCCTGGACTATACGTACCCATCCAACTTTATCCCTTGCCTTTACCATCTGTTCCCTTTTCTCCAGCCATATGGAACAACCAGAATTCCCCATTGCCTCTAAACTCTTTCTGCCAAGAGCGTGTCTCTTCTTTTGTCTTGTGAACTCCTACTAATCCTAAATAGTATAGGGGCCTATTCAATTATCTTCCCATGATTCCCCTCTCCTTTATGCACTGATTATACTTTATACAGAACCTTATTATGACACTTAACGTTAAGATTTCATAATTTTTGTTCTGTCTCTTCCTCGCTAAACTGAGATGCTATGGACAGATACTATGCCATTCATCCTTTTATCCCCAGCACTAGCATAGCTCTCAGAATATTGTAGGCCCTCAAACATGTGTGGAATAAATGCTAATTTTGATAGCAATTATAAAATTCCTTTCCATCTTCTCCATCTTATTTACCAAGTTCTATAATCTCAATCTATCTAATGTCTTTGTTAGCAAAACCTTCTCCATTCCCCATTTTTAAGATTGGCAAAACTATTTTAATGCATCCTGAGATCTGGGTGCTTCTCCAAACCAGGCCATCTTCACTAGTGCTGACAGTTATCTTTCTGAAATACACCTGGCTTTGTTACCTAACTCCTTAAAAAACTGATAACTGGAAACTATCAACACTCTAGAGGAGAAAGCAGGAAACAACCTCCTTGACCTCCACCGCAGAAACTTCTTACTTGACACATCCCCAAAAGCAAGGGAATCAAGAGCAAAAATAAACGATTGGGACCTCATCAAGATTAAAAGCTTCTGCACAGGAAAGGAAACAATCCATAAAACTAATAGGCATCCAACGGAATGGGAAAAGATAGTTGCAAATGACATATCAGATAAAGGGTTAATATCCAGAATCTATAAGGAACTCACCAAACTCCACACCCAAAAAACAAACAACCCAGTGAAGACATGGGCAGAAGATATGAACAGACACTTCTCCAAAGAGGACATCCAGATGGCCAACAGACACATGAAACGATGCTCAGCATCCCTCCTCATCAGGGAAATACAAATCAAAACCACACTGATACCACCTCATGCCAGTCAGAGTGGCTAAAATGAGCAAATCAGAGAACTCTACTGCTGGCGAGGATGTGGAGAAACGGGCACCCTCCTACACTGTTGGTGGGAATGTAAACTGGTACAGTCCCTCTGGAAAACAGTGTGGAGGTTCCTCAGGAAACTAACAATAGAACTCCCCTATGACCCAGCAATAGCACTACTAGGAATTTACCCAAGGGATACAGAAATGCTGATGCAGAGGAGCACATGGACCCCAATGTTCATAGCAGCACTCTCAACAGCTAAAACATGGAAAGAGCCTAAGTGTCCATCCACGGACGCATGGATCAAGAAGGTGTGGTTTATCTATACCATGGAATACAACGTGGCAATGAGAAACAATGAAATCTGGCCATGTGTAGCAACATGGATGGACCTTGAGGGTGTGATGCTGAGCGAAATAAGTCAGGCAGAGAAGGACAAATATCATATGTTTGCACATATAGGAGGGTTAGGAGGAACTTAACTGAGGAACAAGGGGGAGAAGAAGAGGGGAAATGGTGGGGGAAAGGGAGAGAGGCAAACCATGAGAGACTCTTGAATGCTGACAAAAACTGAGGACTGATGGATGTGGGGGGGAGGGGGGATGGGCATGGAGGAGGGCACTTGTGGTGATGAGCACTGGGTGTTATGTGGAAACTAATTTAACAATGAACTATTTGTAAAAATAAAAAAAAAACTCTGATAACTATTCATTGGGATTGTAGGTGGTTATTTCCTCAAAACATGGAAAGCTTTTCTATTTACAGTTAAAAGTAAGTAAAAGGGGGCACCTGGGTGGCTCAATTGGTTAAGTGTCTGACTCTGGATTTCAGCTCAGGTCATGATTTCACTGTTCATGGGTTAGAGCCCCACGTCTGGCTCCAAGGTGACGGTGCCAAGCCTGCTTGGGATTCTCTCTTTCTCTGTTTCTATCTGTCTCTCTCTCTTAAACTTGGATAAAAAAAAGAAATCTTAGATAGATAGATAGATAGATAGATAGATAGATAGGGGAATGCACCATGGAAGGAGACATAATGCCTACTAAATCCAGGGTTTTGACTAATTAAACACAATAACATAGTATTTAATAACTTTAAGAATCCAACTCTAGCTCAGCTCTTACTACCACTCTTCCTCCCCATCCTCAACACACAGCATGGTCATCCTTCCTTAATGCACTGTTGTGTCTTCCAGAATGCCCTATCACCAAGCAAATTCTGACTCATCCTTGAAAGTCAGCATCTGGTTACCTGGTTGCTCCAAGAGAAGGTATAAAAGGGCTTTAAATTGTTACAATCTTTATCAGTCCTCCAAAGCAAGCCAAATCAAAATAAAAATAAGATTTTTTTTTTTTTGGCACGGACAATTGAGACTTTTTGCAATTTCCAGTTAACAATGTACAAAAACATCCTTTAAGAACATTTCTATTTTTATCAACCTATACCATACAATCTAAGTAAAAGCAAAGTAGTTTCTATACAAGTGCATCTTCAAGCTAAGTCCCCTGGCCTACACTTCCAACTAGATTGTAGTCACTAAGCCCTTTATAGAAATTCTGAAAGAGCCACAGAATATTAGTTGCTCTAAGAAGCTTTCTCTAATCTTCTCTTCCTGACAAGCTGTTTGTGGCTTCTTCCTCTAGGCTCACTCAACTATGACCATATACAACTGTTATCCTACCAAACAATAGTACAGTGTTATTATTTCTTTTTAGTTTCTTCCATGAAGGTAGCTAATCCAGAGTAAGGACTCTATATCAGTTTTTTCATGTGAAAAATAAAGATGATAAGACAAATCTCATAGAACTGCTGTGAGAATTAAATGTGTTAGTGCATATTTAAAACACTTAGCACACTAACATATAATAGGAGCTAAATAAATGTTAGCAATCATTTTTCCCTTTGTGTAGTTATATCATGAAGGACTAGCCCAAAGAGTCCCACAGCAAAGACTAGTAGAGTTATTATTCACAAAAGAGCATAAGAAAACACCTATGTCCTGAAATTACTAAGACGTCACTACTTAAGCAAAATGCCTTCCCTATCACCTATTTGCAGATGTGACATGAAACTGAATGGCTGTTTAATGTCTAGTAATTTAAGAAGAAAGTTTTTAAGACCTTATAACTGCGAAAGAAGTTTTGTTTATAAATTGTTGAACTTCTAAGGTATTTATTAAAAGTAAGACGTAAAAGTAATTTCTCATTTGGAGAAAAGGAAAATAACACAATGTGTTGGGAATCTGCATGGTTTCTGACTCTATCATACATTATTTCTTTATATTACAAACTATCTATAGATATATGTGCTCTCAGGTTTTATGATAAAAATCAAATGACTATGCTGTGTGGCAGAAAAAAACCATCAAATTAAAATTAAGGAATATTATATTCCAGCCACTAATTAGCTGTGGGACCTTGGGCAATCTTTTAACAACTCTGGACTTTAGAGTCCTTTTTGGAATTTGAATGGATTAGACTAACATCTAAATTCTCATCCAGCTTGCAAATACAATGTTCTTATACGTCTACTATATTTTAACCTTTCTCTTACGTGGTTCTTCTCCTTATTAGAAACTGAACTCTCTATTTTGGGGTGAGGAGCAGGACTCAAAACCCTATTTATCTTTGTACTTCACAGTGCATAGAACCAATGCCTATTTCTTGACTGTTGGTTGGAATGAATGAGTGCCTCCTACAGAGCTTGTAGTTTAAAAAGGCATAGCAAACTTATGGTATTACAGGTGAGTGGCTAATGTTAACATAATTATGTTATTATATAAGAATAACAAATGATTGTGCATTCATATGAATGTTGATATTCAATATATTCACTCTATGGTTAATATTTTGTTGAAAACCATTATTTTAGAAAAGGAATTAGGAACCAAAACATTTCCTTACTTTTGACACATTTTAGACAAATGATGAGTTAGTTACATAGCTTTGAGAGAGGCTAATTCTACTAAGTTTCATCGTCCTAAGGGTAGTGTCTACTACTATCAAGCAGGTATCCAAGTGTTCATTCTCCAGCACCATTTTGTAGAAGAGGTTTTTATCTTTGCCTTGCTACCGGAATTACAGACTGAAAAACAATCTAATTAAGGAAATAATCTAGGATATATAGATACATGGAGAAAACATACATGTGTGTATGTGCCTATATAAACACACATGCAGTTTAACTCAGTAACTAAATTGCCTTGTGTACCTGTTTTATTTTTTTTTAAGTTTATTTATTTTGAGAGAGAAGAAAGAGAGAGTGGGGGAGGGGCAGAGAAAGAGGGAGAGCGAGAATCCCAAGCAGGCTCTTCACTCAAGCACAGAACCCAACACAGGGCTGGCTCACAAACTTTAAGATCATGACCTGAGCCAAAATCAAGAGTCGGACACTAAACTGACTGAGCCATGCAAGCGCCCCTCCCCTCCATGTACCCATTTTAAAATTAATATTTAGTGTAGGCTTATTGCTGGAGCAGTTCCAAAATATCTCTAAGTGGAATGAAAAATGAATACTGATTAACTAACTATAAAGAAAGACTAGGTAAAACAAATGGACAGTTTTCCCACTTCTTTTGAACAAGGGCAGATACCTCTTTTTGGATATACCTCAAAAAGAGTTACAAGGGATTCCATTTCTCCATTTTAGTAGCAACACGATTGAAATGTGAGGTAAGTGTACTTCACAATTTCCTGGGTCTGCACTGTTGGGAAAATGAAGAGTTTTTCTAATATTCACTGGTCAGGGTCAATCACACCAACCTGAGTTTGGTTTGAATGGTACTCACTGATAAACTCTACATAAATTGGACACAAGCACAATAGGTTTTTTTATTGTTAAATTACTGTTACCATATGCAGAGCAAAAAGTATAGGGATTGATCTACTTGTGCATTCACATTTTAAATTCTTGATATAAACAAGTGAACAAATGATCAGTTAGGAAAGGACAACTGAAGTAATAAAACATGCTCAAAAATTTTAGAAAACCATCTTTTTTTCTACATGTGATATCATATTAATAAACAAACTAGGTTAACCTCAATAAGTTAGAAAGACTCCCTCATTATTAAGGGCAGTCTATCTCTGGCTAATGCAGTTATTATTAGGATATAAGCATCAAAAAATAAAGGGGTGGCATTGTTAAAAATTTTCCAAAGTGTTAACACTCTTAATGCTGAGTTTCCAGTTCTAGAATTGTCCATTCCCCTTGGGGTGAACAATCTTCAGAGGAAAAACTAGCCATGGTGATGCTTGCTGAGGAATCATCAAGTGGAGAGGTTAGTTCACTCCATCTGTTCAAAGTGTCAACATGTGCTTTACCCTGAGGTTTTGAGCTGTCTCGTGCTAAAAGTAACGTCTGATTGATTAGAAACTGTGCTAAATTTAAGTCTTCAGGAACAGAATTCGTAATATTTAAGTTTGAATCCTGTTCAGACAGCAGTTGCTTTAATAGCATCCAATCTTGTTCTGCAAAGTGCTGATCATCTTCAAAATCCATGTCTGTAACATGTGTTTCTGATTCCATTTTCTGCTCAAATGCTTCTACTACATCCATCTCATATATTGGAGAGAGGGTTTTTGAAGGCCGATGGTCATACATGTAGGTTTGTGCCAGTGTGTCACAATCATCTATGTCTCCTGAAATAATTCATAATACTATACAATGTAAAAATTGCACATGTTGGTACCCCTCAGAGTTTTGTAGAACAATATTAAAACAACGTAATAGTTATAGTCCAAAAAAACAGAAAATGGAAAAAATAACATTTATACAAAACTGACAGGATTATTGAGGCATTTCTTTTGCTAAATTAAAAAAAAATAAAACAACCGAAGGATGTTTAGCAGCAGTATCAACATAGGCAACTAACAATAATTCTCCATACTTTAATTTGAAAACTTGATACAAAAAAACAACAAAAGTTATTTAAACATAAACACAGAATGTGCACATGTATCTAATTCACTACAATAGAAACTTAAAGAGAAAAAAAAGACATGGTCATTGGATGGTGACTTTTAAGGTAGGTCAGTTCCAAAAGGAGAATAAATACATTTTATCTAAAGCCTTATTTGTATATTGCACATGCAAAGGAGGATGCAAGCAAGGACAAACAAAAAAGTACAACTTTAAAGAGCTCCTTCCCTATTGTGATTTTGCTGAACAAGGGCTATTGATCAGTATTTTTCTTAGTTCTGATATACAATAGCTACTCTGTCAGCCACTACTGCATATTTTAAATGTGGGTCATTAGTTCAAATTACTGTAATAAGGAAGACAAACACACAAAACAATTAGACAGGAAATCATCTATATGTATGAAATAAGCCTGGGCTTTTTTCATATATTATCATTGCTTCTAAATATAATCTCTTTTAGGAAATTTATCTTTTTACTTGAAACTTTTAGAAGTATAGTGATCCTGAAAGTCTTAATCTCTGTAAAATGTATATAAATTATAATAATTAATCTAGTTAAAATAGTTCAGTGCTTTTAGTTATATATTACTATAATTATTGCACAGCCCTCTTGATATATACTAGCATAGTCCATAAATCATATTCAGTGTATAATAAAATTTTCTAATAGCGAATAATTCTATGTTAAATTAGACATAAATAACTAAATAATAGCAAACTAAGTTTTTCTCTTTATTCTTTCATGTAAAATCTATTAATAGATTAGCTCTAATAATAACCAAACTTTTACTAGGTCTTAATCCTGCGCTAAGATTTTAAGTGAACAATAAAGGGTAAGTAACTAGCTAATTTTCATATTATTAAGAAATTTAAATTTTCATTTGAAATTTGAATCTGTTGCTTAAGTAATTATTCTGTATAACTAAAATACAACACTCAGGGCTATATCCAGTTTAAAATTCTATAAACTCATTTTTTTATGTATTTAGCATTTCTATTTCTGTACATTACCTGCAGATAAAGCAATATTAGCTCTTTTGGTAGCTGTAGAATGGTTCTCTTTTACTTGACCTTCCTGAGGCAGAAGCTGACTCCGACAGGAGTCCAGAAATTTTGTAGAGCTGTTCTTTGGTATGTCAGAATTGGGTTCTCTTTGATGAAGCTCCAAATGACATGGTCTTTCTTGAGATTTTACATCACTATCTGAGAGTTTGCTGCATTGCTGAAAGTCATTATCCACACTGCTTCTGCCATTTACCTTTTTATCTTCTGGAAGAAGCTGTCTACCTCCTGTGGACAGGACATCCACTGTGTACTTTTTTCCTGTGGCTGAAGTACTCAGTTTATCTCTTCTTGATGAGTCAATACTAGCGCAACCCAAGAGAGAGCTTTCGTTTTTACATATGCTATTGCCTCTATCTTGTTTACATTCTAAAATACTATCTTCAATTCCTTGTGAGTACCTGGAATAGCAGGTCCTTCCATGATGTTCATGAGAAATACCATCAAAAACATCAGATGGTGACAAAGAATCTACAGAAGGCTGAAAAGGAGTATGGGCTTCCCCTTCATCAGATCCTAGTTCTTCACATTCATCTACTGAAAGTAAAACTGATCTTTTAAAATTTTTAGTTGTAGAGAACTCATGACTTTCATTTTCTGTTGCATCTTCAAAAGCTAAATTAATGATTCCCTGAAATTGCTGAGGAGCTGAGTTAGATGTAGAGAAATTGTCTCCAACATTTTCAGCTTCGGATCTTTCATCTTCTGTTTCATCTGCCGAGGAAGAAACCTGATCTACTTCCTGAGCAAACTGGATACTGCCTCGTAGAATATTTTCTTTTTCCCTAGGGTGGACTACCATAGATCTAGACCAAATTTCTGGCCTTTTTCTAGGAATCTCATCATCACTTGTCGAATTAATTTGGAAAAGATCATTACTACTTTGCTTTTTCATTTTCACTTCAATTCTTAAGTTACTATCATATATTTTTAGTTCTTCAGGAGTACTGGTATCACTGCTACTTCTTCCAAGAAAATCATGGCACAGCATCGTGCCACATTTAGAAATACCTCTGTCATTTGACCCGTCATCATCCTGGGACCCTCCAGCATCATAGTCTTCAGATCTGGGCTTTATGTCATCAGAGGATGTGGTAGCACTCCCAGTGTCAGATTCAGGACTCTCTCTCTGATGTAGACCACTGGTACTCAAATTCCAATGACTCATGAATGGAACTTCTGGAGTTTCATGGCTCTCTGGAGTTTCTGTTGTTTCCATATCTTTAGGAGAAGTTTTTCCTGATATTTGTTCCAAAGCACACTTGGAGGAAATATCTGAGTCTGCTGTAGCATGTTTGATTTCACTCACAGCAGAGTCATCAGACAAGTGACTAGGAACTGTCTGTTCTTCGATACGAATTTTAGATTTCCTGTTATCTTGGACAGAATTTAAGGTACCATTTGTCCTTTCAGGAACACGTGATAAAACATCTTTGTCACATTTAATGTTTAATTTTTCGTTTGTATCTTTCCCCCCTACTTGCTTCTCTCTATCTGATACTGAAAGAATTTGCTCTGCATCTGCAGAGTCTAAATCACAAACTGGATTAGAGTTCAGGGAGTTTTCACTGGGATTTGAAATCGTGGACTTTAGGACAGTGGTGCTATAAAATTTTGGATCTACATTATCACTCCCATCAGAATGACAATGTATTTTAGCTGTCTTGTGCTGATGTATTTCTTTGCTGGAAAATTTTGTTTCACTTTTATCTGAACAAATCTGTTTCGATTCCAATTCACACTTTGATTTATCCAAATTTGAAATACTCTGGCATTCTAATTTCTCTTTCCCTTGGTTGTTTAATGGCTTTTGTGTGTCAGGTTTGCATGATGACAGGAATGCTTCTGTACTGCTGATTTCTGATGTGAGATTAATTAGAGGTTCATGAGGCTTCTGTTCAGAAATATTGTCCTTGTTATTACTATCATGTACATCATGAAGCATGCTTGTTTCACTTTTTAAGGGTCTTTGAGAAGAAGGCTGAGTTTTCAATGTAACCTGTCCAGGAACCATTTTCTGTTTTGCATCGTTATTATTCAAAGCTTCACCTTTCTTAGATTGATTTAAGTTTTTAGGCATTGCCACTATTTTTGCATTAGCCTTAGGCAAAGGTGTGTGTCCTTGCTTGACAATTTTTTTCTTAGGTGTTTGTTTATCTGTAGTTGTACTGTGGTCCAATTTTGTCACATTTTCATCAGACTGCCTTGAAGAGACTGAAGATTTTACCGAATTTGGTGATTCTCCTTGAGATCCTAAGAAAAAAAATTTAAAAATATATAATATACTTCCAATTTATGAGTAAAATATAATATTTGTTTTTAAATTACTTTAGATAAAATAAGTAAGGAAATGATGACATATCTATGACAATGGACAATAAAAGATTAGGAGTAACAAAATAAAAAATATTTTTTATTACAAATACAAGGGGAATATTCCAGCATCTGAGCAAAATTATTTAAAGAGGATCTCTCTTCCTCAAGAGCCTTGATCCTTATGACAGAACTGGATTTGCATAAATATATGAAGGTGGAAAAACCTGATTTTCTCATGTTAAAAGAGCAGGAAGGGTCTTCCCTTTGAAGTTTTTTGGGGAAAAAAGACTTGAGTTCCACACAGCTGAAAGGAGAATCAAGCTAAATATAAAATAGAGATGTTTAAATTACTGCAGTTTTTTCCACCAAACATAAACAAAATTAATTTACTTCTCATAGCAAGATCATGATTGTAGATAATAATCATTCGGGTTAACAACTTAGATGTGCAGTGGCAACTAAAATTGATAACTGGAGGGAAAGGGCTAATTTTGGGATCCATTTGTTTACAGTGGTTAAGTCCTAGTGATGACATTTTGAACACTTAAATATATCAAACAGAACTGCCAAATATTTATAATTGTGTAATTTTTTGTTATTACTAGAAGATGAATAATTTTTCTCCAGTTTATTTTTAAATTTACTTTCAGTATTAATTATCTAGCTCAAAATTGTTTTTAGGCTTTTACAAGCTCTTATCTACATGAATGCTTAATGCATAACACAAATTAATTTTTTTTAAGTAGGATTCATGCCTAGCACCAGAGTCCAGTGCAGGGCTTGAACTCACAACCCTCAGATCAAGACCTAAGCTGAGATCAAGAGTTGGGTGCTTAACCAACTGAGCCATCAGGGCACACCAAAGCAAATTAATTTTTAAAATCAGTTATAAGGTTAGAAAATCATGCAATCTGACTAGTATGCTTTTCTTTCTTAGAACACAGCAAAACAACAGGTATCAGGAGGGAAATTTCTTCTTCCCTACATATTACAGCTCTCAAGACTGTACCATTACTTTTTAAAGGGCTTATTAGGGCTGGTTTTGCACATGGAATCCCTATAGTTATCAATGAAACTGAGGAAACCTGGGCATAATATATAAAAGGACCAAAAGTACAAATAAACCAGTGACTCCCTTATTTCTCATAAAAGACAATAAAAAACCAAACCCACACCCTGAAATACCAAAATACTTGTCAAAAAGTAAAGTGTAAAATCTCATCTTTATAATATTACACAAATATAAAATTAGTGAAACTATGTTATATACAGAAATAATACCTAGGGCTATTTCATCTTTACCTTGAGTTTTAGAAAGATTAGATGAGGCATTTTTTGTTCTCTGTTGAGCTGTAGTGCATCCACTGCCATTTCCTCTTTTCTTTAAAATTGCCTGTGGTACTGGATCACCATATCCTTTGTTAGTGACCTTCTTTAGCACACTAAGAAAAATGATTTGCATTCAGTATTGCACTCAGATGCCAACACGTGAACTTTTATTTTTAATTTTTTTTAAGTTTATGTATTCATTTTGAGAGAGAGAGCATACATGAGCAGGGGAAGGGCAGAGAGAGAGAGGGAGAGAGAGAGAGACAGAGAATCTCAACCAGGGTCTGCACTGTTAGTGCTGTTAGTGCTGAGCCCCAATGATCATTCTGTGTAAGTATACTATCTTTTAATAGTTTTGAAATATCATTGTATAAATACATTAAATTTTCTAACAAAAAAGAAAAGATATATTTAAAAATGTTTTTAATGTTTATTTACTTATTTTGAGAGACAGTGTGAGCAGGGGAGGGGCAGAGAGAGAGGGAGACAGACAATCTGGCAGTGCAGAGCCTGATGAGGGGCTTGAACTCATGAACCTCGAGATGATGACCTGAGCCAAAATCAAGAGTGAAATGCTTAAGTGACTGAGCCACCCAGGCGCCCTGAAAAGATACTTTTAAGATACTTAGCTAGATGTTAGTATACAGAACTTTCAGAAAAAGCTAATGTAAAGGTAAAATAACGGAGGAAGACTTACGTGTTATTTATACTAGTTTCTTCATGAATGTTTTTTTTATTTGAAGTTCCACTGGCAACTTTTGAAACAGGTCGAGATTTTATAGCTGTAAATTAAGCAACAGTGAGTCATGAAACAGAGAACTGAATATGTAAAAGTCATGCATAAATTCAGTGGTCAGACACTATATCCAAAATTAAATGTTAATGTGGGATGAAGTATGGTTTCTCTCAGTTTCCATGAACACACGTAAATAAATGCTTTTTGGCATTTCAAACTAAATAAACATCCAAAAAGAGAATAATTTTTCCTAGGAACTTTAACTGTCAGGAGTTATTAAAAGTGAGGGTACTAAAACCCACCTACAGTGGTTTTGATATTTTCCACACTGTTTTTCATGGAGTGCCCTGGAGATTCCCAACAGGACAGTTTATCACTAGAAGGCTTCTCTTCTCCTACTGATCCATTTTCTTTTGGTTCATCCAGACATTCAGTGGAAATCAGTAATTCCATACTTGAATTTGTCGATCTGCTGGAGGGCCCTGTGATGCTGAGGCACGGAGAATCTTTTCCTGTCGCTTTCTTCAGAGGCTTTGCTTTGGTTTGTGCATTTAAGTTTCCAGTGAGTACCTTAGGTCTGGCACCTGTAATGTGCCCTTCCTGATTTCTTACTCCTTTCCCATTTAATGAACTTTTCTGTCCATTTGCTGCTATTGCTGCTGATCTTTCCACAGCTTGTCTAGGCGACATGTTTGCTGACTTTGCATTATCACTGTTTTCTGTCTGGGACTTTATTATAGCTTTGGGCTTTCCAGAAACATTTTTTCCCCCAGTTTTAAGTTCTTTTGTAACCTTAGATGCTATTTTTGTATCACCCTTTTCCTTTAAATCATCGTTCTTCAAAGTTTTATTTATAGTATTTCTATTAGAACTTGATGAATGTCCAGATGCTCCTAATCCATCAGATTTCATCTTTTGCTTAGTAGAGGGATAACTCCAACACTCCTTCTTGGTATTTCCTCTCCAAGATTTGTTATTTACAACACCAGAGTCAGAAGCTTGTCTCCTTTGCTACAAGGAAGAAAAAACACTTTATAACTTGACTGATGTCTTTGACTTATAATACTTTGTTTCAATAAGCGAGTTTTTCAAAGAGGAAAAAGCAAAAATCAATTATAATATAAGGCAACTCAAAATTTGAATTATCTTTGATCACTTGAATGTGTCTTTGGTCACATTACTTTAATTAAATCTGAAATACACCATAAAAAATTAAAAGGCAATGTTATTTTAAAAAGGCATACTATTTAACTTTATGAAATTATAGTAGAGATTAATACCTAAAGGTGTCACGATGCCCTGGGTCAATGATAACAATGTCCAACCTTTTTTGACGGTCCACCTCCAGGGTGTATGCTAAAATCGTTTTCATAGGGCATACCACTTAATATTCACAACGCTCCTGTGAGAGTGCTCCTGTTGTTAACCCCATTTTTTAGGAAATTGGGGATTAAAGCAGGTATGTGATTTACCAAGGTCATATGCTGATAGGGAAAGAAGTAGGACTTGAGATCATGATTAACTGCTTTAAGCTGGCAGTCATCTATATGGTATAATTTGAGGGCCATTATAAAGGTTTTCACAAAAAAACTTACTCTTCAATCCTACCCAACTGCCAGAAATTTTATTACTAAAGACTTAATCCTTGTGGGTGAGGTTTGGAAGCCCCTGGGAAACAAGACAGTACATATGAAAAGTTTGGCTTTTGGAAGAAACAAGATAGTAATACAGCTCTGGCTATAAGGAGAAAGTGGAGGAAAAGGGGTCCTAAAGACAGGTGAAGTAGGTAAAAAGAGGAAAACAGAAAGACAATTAAGACACTGAAGACAAGACACCTATATTGTTTTGGTTAGAATCAACCTTGCTATAGAAGGAATAACAATATTTAAAAAATTGGTAGGAAATGCAAATAAAATTTTAAGATTATAGCTGCCACTCTTTATTAAATATGCCTCCACCCCTGCCTCAGCCTTGAAAAGCTATATGAAATTGCAGAGCTCTGAGGAAGAGCCTGTTTGTCTTCATCTTTGTATCCTTTAGCACTGTGCCTGTAATACTGAATACTCAAAAAAATGTGATGCATGTTCTTAGGGGCGCTTGGGTGGCTCAGTTAGTTAAGCATCCATCTCTTGCTTTTAGCTCAGGTCATGATTTCATGGTTCGTGGGATCAAGCCCTGTGTGGTGGGCTCTGTGCTGACAGTGCAGAGCCTGCTTGTGATTCTGTCTCCCCCTGTCTGTGCCCCTCCCCCACTTGCATGAGTGCTCTCTCTCTCTCAAAATAAACATTTTTTTAAAGAATGTGAACCATGTTGTTAAATCTAAGTATATATTGATATATAGCTCAAGGGCTAATTATTTCAAATTTGTCCAGGATAAAGACAACATACATACATGTATGTATGTATGTAAATACACACACACACACATATATATACACACACACACACACACATACATGCATACATACATAATAAATCACCTGGCTAAGTTTCGGAAAAAGCTAGGTGTAGTACTAATAAAAGAATCATTGGATTCTGTCATAACTTTACCTGTAACTGACTTAGGATGTTTAAGAAGTCATTCACATCCCTGAGCCTCATATTAATAATATTTAATTCTAGAGAGGGTGGAGACTGGTCCTATCAGTGTAGTGTCTAGGATTCTATGTAATATTTATAAAGTTCAAATAGGTTTGGTCCTCATTTTTTGTCTTCTTGATCACATTTTAGCTCAAAAAATAACCTTTCTCTATTTTTATTTATTTATTTTGGTGCAAAAATGTGTTTTTCTTAAAGCACAGGGACAAGACCTATGGGCAGAAAAGAGCCATCTCTATTTTGAATACCTAAAACCAGGTAGACTTCTGATTTTAGACTTCTTCTCACCCTTAAAACTGATCCTACTTACTTTACTGTATTGTTGAATCTATCTATTTCAAAGCATCATGTTATGGGTGAGATCTATGTAGTATATAGGGTAACCACACTCTCTCAGAAACTTCATATTAACATAGTACAGCATGATGAGGATTCGAAGCATACACACACATCTAGGCATTCTCTAACTTACATCTACAAAGTTTACATATATTTATTGTATATAAATGGTCAACTGGAAAGGTCACCACATGCTATTGACGAAAATGAGAAGAAGGCAACCCTCTAAAGAATTCCCCTGAGACACCCTTTTGGTTCCAGTACTATTCCTTTCTTGTTTGTTTTTTGTTTAACTTTTTTTTTTTGCAATGAATTTTATTAACTTTTTATTATAGTAAAAGTTATACATAATCAAAAGAAGATAGAATAGTATTATGAATCCCCATGTACCTATGTACCCCATGTACCATGCAGCTTTAACAATAATCAGCTCTTGGCCAATTTTGTCTCATATATAACTGCTACTATTCTATTTTGAAGTAAATTCCAGACATCATTACCTTAAGTATTCTGGTACCAACACTCTTCTTAAACCGTTCTCTCTGTCTTATCTCATTATCTTTCAGAAGAACTCATCTCTTTTTGGAAAACACATTTATTCACTTATTGAACACTTACTACATACCAAGTAATTGCACATAAATTATTTCACTTAATTTTCACAATAATTTCACTAGGTTTTATTATTACATTTTACAGACAAGCAAACTAAGACTCACATACGGCAGAGATAATAAATGTGAAGTCATGATTTTCAATTCTTATTCTATGCCCAGCACCCATTTCAGTATACCACTGCTCTTTTTAGGAAAATATACTACCCTGCTTCCTTCCCACTGTGGTTAATAGTATAAACCCCTGGACAACCTGAAAGTCACGACAATAACAAAGAGCAATGAAACTTTGTTCTATTTTACTGTAAGACAAGGAAAGAGGAAAAGCCTAGTGGTAACAGTTGGTAGAATAGCAGAAAGCAAATCAGGTAGGCTAATTCTTTGAGGGCCTAAAAAAACAGACAGACAAACAAACCCCTGGGGACAGCAGGGAACTAGTACATAGAGAAAAATGTCCTAAGGTACTACTTCCTAGAGTTTGTTCTATGGAACTGTATAATATACTTAAGAATGGTCAAGGGGGAGTCTAGCAGTATTTGGTGCTTAAGGAAAGAACAATGTTTCAACAATGGTATACAACAAATACATCTTAACCATTTTTAAGTGGGAAGTACAGTAATGTTAACTATATAAACTTTCTGCAACAAATCACTAGAACTTTCTCATCTTGTAGAACTAAAATTTTATACCCACTGAACAACTGCCCTTTTCCTTATATCCCCAGCCTCTGGCAACCACTATTCTACTTCCTGTTTCTAGGACTTTGACTACTTTAGATAGCTCATAAAAATACAGCAAATAACTATTAAAGTAAAACACAACTATACTCTTGGTAACTAACTGCCTTTTTCACACCAAAAATGTGTTATGTGAATTAAAATCTTAGTATAGAGAAAAGTGGGACAACTAAAATCTTTTGTAAGAAGTAGGTTAATTAGAAAAATAGACATTGAATTAGGTCTAGAATTTTAGATAATTTCTAATATATTGGAATAGCTCCAATATGTTAGTTGCTAAAAGGGTTTTCAAGGAAATAAAAAAGGCAGACAATATTTCACTTTCTATGCCAACTGTATAGAAAAAATTCACATCATTTAAAAATAATAGAATATTCACTTGATTAAGGAGTCAAAATTATTTTCATCAGGAAACAACTATAATTAATGAAAAATACATTTTAAAAATCATTGAAATATAAAAATAAAAAATTTAAATTATTTAGTACCTTTTTTCATTTAGACCTAGAAAATTTTAAAAGTTTACCTGAGAGCTACTGAATACAGGCTTTTTGCCAAGTCTTCGATCGTCACCTTTGTCAAATGCAGCTGTAGGAAAAAACAACAATTTATTTTTATAGGAAACACTATTATTACCATAAAAGTATGAAAAGGTTATGTTTTAATGGAAGTAACTTAAAAAAGACTAAAAGCAATCTAGCACACATAGATAATTCCATATTATACTTTAGAAGTTTTTATTTAAAAAACCCCATTTTCAATCTTATTTTCTGGTCTGTATGGACTTTATGTTATTAAAAGTAATAAATAAGAAATGCAAAATCTCATTAGAGGATTCATACATTTATAAAAACAACAGAATTTTTCTCAAGCTGTGAAATTTTAAGGATAATTGGTTTCATTTAGTTTTCCAAATTTCCAAAAAAATTACAGGATGTGGCAAATGTAGTATTTCATAAACCATTAAATATGAGAAAATGTCTATCCTAAAAAAATGTAAAAATATTCTGTTGAAGTTAACTACAAATTTTTCCTGCTTTTGCAGGTATATGTCATAAGGAAGAAGGAAAGAGAAGGGGAAGAAACAAGGTTTTGTTGAAAATAAAACAAGAAACAATCCTCAAATCCATATCATTCTTTTTAGAATTACATCAAAATTCATTTTCTAGATTAGGTCTATATGGGAATTATTGAGGAACTCAAGTTTATGGTCTTCAAATAAGAATTTGAATGACGTCAGGAAAATATACAGAAATAATGGGACGAGAGCCATAAATATAGTTCAGCTAATGTACTTCTTTCTTTTGAAGGTTATAGGGTTTGAAAATGTAGTTTGAAAAAATATATATAATATCCAAAAATTATTTGATATTAAAACAGCTGATGAAAAATATATTAAATTATTTGCAATACTACCATTGCGTCTTCTATTTGTGTTCCATAGGATCTGTGCTATAAAGAGAAAGCAGGATCCTTAAATGGCATTATAAGGACTGATTTGTAGTAAGCATAAGATGACTCTGCACAGTCCTATACAAAAAGAAATTAATGTAAGATTTCCCCCAAAGGTCAGTAACTCAATTAAAATATAACAAAAGTTAACCTAGAATCACTCCTTTATGTGGGGTTTCCCAGTGCAGTAACTATCCATTCAACATTCTGAATATTAAAAAAAAATATTATTATACTGATAGAATAGATTGAAAAGTTCTTTTTGACAATCAGTACAATTACCAATAACATTTTGTTTTACATATGTATATGTATGTATTTGCAGGTATTTATAATTAGCACTTTGTAGAATTAAGATAAAGAACAGTACTTAAGGCCCAACTTAACTATGAAATATTTTAAAATGAAGAAAAACAAAGTTTACTACCAATCAGAAGAGAGTTGAATGACACCTATTCTGGAATGCTGATCTTATTTCTTTACATTGAACAGATTTTGTAGTAAAAACACTGTTATTTAAAAACCACTACACAAATAGTCACAAGGAAAAAAAATTCAAAATCCTGAAGACCTTGAGATTTTCACTGTTTCATGATTTTGTTCTTTGAATATTTTCTTGGAATCTCTTTGAAAAGTGCTCTTCAGATCACATCTAGCTACACTATCATGTTATGCTCATAATACAAGACAGAGCAAATCATATTCTGACTATTCCACTGAAGAAATTTCAGGTATCTATGTACTATCAAGAATATATTACATAGGGCTTTCATATTTTATAGTACAAAAATGTTTGCTTCCTAAAATATAGTCTCTTGAAATGTTTTTAAAAGTATACCTGCTGAATCTGCAAATATTTTTTCTAAGGCACCTGCTTTAACCCAAAATTAGTGATGAAGCCATTTTTAGTTCCACACCCTCAAAATTTTTATCTTAATATTTTTGAAACAAACATATTCTGAGCAATATACGTCTTTTCTTTAATGCTAACGTTTCAAATGGTACCTTTTAAATGTCAGAGACCACTGTGTGGCTCCTGAGGGACACTCCGCAATAGCACACACCATATCACTGAACCAATCAATTGTGAAATAAAGCCATCTAATTTATACAAAACCACAAGAAATGATATCTTAAGCAAAAGATGGAAAAGCTTTATCGCAAAATATATTTAAACAGGGAGAGAAGGTATGTTTCGTAATATGTTCTATGTGAATTTTCCTATACTTCTAATCTCTTTATAAGAATGCTTTCAAGAAAATTTGGCTGGAACACTGCTGTTAATACAGAATACGGAGCAGGATTAAAAACTGACATATATATATATGCATATATATATATATACACACATATAAAGGAAATGAGTCGTCTTCTAAGAACAGCAAAGCATGATTTATTAAAACATACTATCACTAGTTTCAATTAGCAAGCTATTACTGAACAGAAGCAAACAATGTTAATCCTACTACTTATTAGAATCCCCTCAAAATGTCTCTTGTTACAAAGATCATAATATAAGAATAAAAAATCTCAAGGCTACCATACCTGCTTGGATTTTCTGTTGATCATCTGTGCTCATCAGCTTCCAGCTTTCTGTATGACGAACAGCATAGAAAGACTGAACCAGGAAGATCCACAGCTTATCACGCAGAGCCTGGATCTTGCACGTAAAACCCTGTGTTCAAGCAACAAATCAGCAGCTGGTGAGAGCCACATTGTCATAGCAACCAGTCATTATTCCTTTCCGAATCTACTTACTCCTAAGCTAGATCAATGATGTCATCACTTAGATTTTTAAAATCATCGAGTCCATGTTATTTATGAAGGCTTACTCTTCAAAAACAGAATTTTATAGTGAACATGAAGCCAAACCTATCCTTTCAACCAAACATTATTTTAAACCACCAATGGCCTTTACATGAATCCCTTCTATAGTCTTTTCAAATCAACTATGACATTACAAGGTCAAATACTCTATCCAATAGTAATAAATATGATGAAATTTTTTTTACCATTCTTTTGTTAAACAAAAACAAAAGTTTAATAATTTGCAATAAGCTTACTATCATTGATTAATTGCATTTAAAAAGAGAAACATTTTAATTTTGTTTTTTCCTAGTCAACCCAATTTTAAATATGATTTTTTTCTGAAGGCAAAAAGGAATTAAGAACATATTCTGCAAATAAAAGACACTGATTATTAAAAATTCTAAAAAATTACTTAAATATTCTAGAAGATTTACATTTAAGAAATTTAATATAGTAACATGGGAGAAATACCAGAGTTATGCTGTACCAATTAATATTGTTCAGCACCAAACTATGTTTAGAATTAGTGAGTCAAACTGCCAAATTCTGAACTTTTATAGTAAGTCTGTTTGGAGGTAAATGAAATTAAATTTTTATTTGGGACAAATTCCAAACTGACACAAAAGTAGGGACTATAACCAACCCCCGATCGCCAAGATTTTATGAACCCTACAACACTAAAAATGTGCATATATTTTAAAACCTTAAAGCAATTCAAATATATCATTTAAATGAATTTCATCAGTTTCAATACCATGTCCTTTGTACTGTCAGAGTTCAGTAACGTGTCCAGAGCCATAAGAAGAGAGCAGCTATTCTCAGTGGTAATGTTTTCTTCAATTGCTTTTAAAATTTTATCCAACAGATCAGCTGTGCTGCTCATTGCTTGTGACTACAAAACACAGAATTTATATTTAATAGAAATACATGTAAAATGTGTAAGAAATGTGAAAGTCTGGCTTAACAACACGCCATTCATCATAACTGACCATTGAAAGTCAGCTAGAAATCTTATTTCCTCTTATCGTAATACAATATTTTATAATATATTATAATCATGTAATTATAATAATATCATAAAAATCTTTCCTTTAAAAAGACAGACACATACACACACACATACACACAGTTCCTAGGAACCAAAATAGTCCTAAAAACAGAATTAGAAACAAATAATCAAAGTTCTTTATTCAGTAACTGAATTCAGAGCAAGTGGATCCTCAGTAAGAATTCTGCATGGACTATAATGGTATTACTTAGAAAACAACACATCTATCACAGGTTTCTAACACATGGCTTATGCTGATTGAGGGCTACTTCTGGCCAGGGTTACATTACGTCTTGCCAGTGCATACAAGCCTGTCCCCTACTGCCTTCACTATCCTGTAAGCCAAAAATCCTGTCCATCACTGCTCTAAATCCTATGCAAGCATGCCATCTGTTATGGAATTTATTTAAGTCACACTAATTTAATCAAAGGCAACCTGCATTTAAAAACTCTTACATAACTGTAATCAGAACACAAAGATGGGACTAAATATAGGATATAATTTTAGACACAGTACCTGTAAGAGAAGAGCAAAATTTTCACTGTGAATGATCCTGGAGAAATTTTTAACAATAAATGCAATACATTCTTCTTGCAGCCGAGATGCCATTGTCAGGGCTACTTCTGTCCACTTCACTCTGGGTAAACTGATGATTAGCCTGTCACTTTCCATCAGAAGAAAAGCAGCATTCTTATCATTCTTATAATTTAAAAAATATTGGAAAAAAAGTTACTATTTATAAAGTAACTTTCTAAAACAAATCAAATACTTTTGTTTTCTTATGATGTTTCCCTACAAAAAACCAAAATTCCAAGTTGCTAATATCTTTGTCATGACATAATATTTACTTATTCTTTCATTCAGAATTATCCAAAAGGGCAAACTTTGAACTAGGGATAAACCACCTCTAAAAGAGAGCGAAAAGAAACCCGAGAGAAGAGCTATAAGTACAAAGGAAAACTTGACCTCTCTGAGATTTTCACTACTGAATTAGTTTTTGTGCTTACAGATATCATTCATAACTATATAGCTACACTGACATAAACTGAATTCTTTCCTGACTACAAAATACATGCTCTTTATTACAAATTTAGGAAGTCTAAAAATTGCTTATATTCTCCAGTGATTTTCTTCCTCCACTCTAATTAGGTAAGACTCTTTATATTTTATTCATTTAATGATGATTCATTTTTATACCACAGGAAAAAAAATATTCACAGATACTGATTTCTATGGAAAGTGGAATGATAATTCACAAATACCATGTGCTCCAATGAAAAGGAAAAAACGGCAACATATAAAGTACTTTATCTTATTCATACTTGGCTTCTAGTTCTTAAAACAATACTTAGTAAATAGCTGATGAGTATAGAGTTATCTGATAGATTGTAGTAGATTGAAAAACATGGCCACAAATTCTTTCTAGCTCCATCTATTAAGAAGTAGAATTTATTTACTCATCCCTTGAACCTAGGCAAGTCTTTTCACTTGCTTGCACAAATACTGGTACTGTGCAAGTTCCAGAGCCAAGGTCTCAAGAAGCCCTGCAGCTTGCAATTCTGGGACCACAAGGCAATGAAGCTGGGTAAGGAAGACCACATGGAGTGGGAACCCAAGCTCCAACTTAGCCACCAGATGAAAGCAGCTGCAGAATGGAACTCAGGAAACAATCAGCAGAAGAATTACCCAGTCAATCCACAAAATTAGGAGAAACAATAAACTGTAGTTTTAAGCCACTTTGTTTTGGGGTCATTTGTTACAGAGCAATAGATAAATCTGGAAGTGATAGACTGACATCCTTAACACAGGCTGCACGATATAACCTTTGCATACCCTATGTTTCAGATCTCAACTCAAACTCTATCTGACCCTGATCTCTATCCCTATATCAGATTTCTTTTATACATGCCACCAGACAACCTGTCTTTTTTTAGAGTACTTAATTCATTTCTAATTATTCAATCATGAGAATAACTACTTGATTAATATCTGTCTCTCTCACTAGACTGTATGTTTGCTGAGCATGAAAACATGTCTGTTTTGGCTCACCATTGCATCCCCAGGGCCTAGTACACAATTGGCTCATAGTAGACTCTGAAATATTTGTTCATTTCTTAGCATCATCAGAGAGTGAGAGTCTATATGTGAATTCCTAAGCTAAATTGTTTAATCCTTGAACAAAATTTTTTAACATTTTATATTTTTAATGTTTATTTTGAGGTGGAGAGACAGTATGTTTGCACAAGTATGGGTGGGGTAGGGGCAAAGAGAGAAAAGAGAGAGAGAGAGAATCCCAATCAGGCTCTGTGCTGTCAGTGCCTAGCCTGATGGGGGTGGGGGGGGCGCACTCAATCTCAGGAACTGAAATCAAGAGTCAGGCACCTAGGGGCGCCTGAGTGGCTTAGTCGGTTAAGCATCCGACTTTCGCTTAGGTCATGATCTCGCGGTTCGTGGGTTCGAGCCCCGCGTCAGGCTCTGTGCTGACTGCCAGCTCAGAGCCTGGAGCCTGTTTCGGTCTGTGACTCCCTCTCTCTCTGACCCTCCCCTGCTCACGCTGTCTCTCTCTCTCCTAGAAAAAAAAAAAAAAAAAAAAAAAAAAAAGAGAGTCGGGCACCTAACTGAGCCATCCAGGCACGCCTCCTTCTTAACCAAGAATTTTTAAAAATTTTATTATATGTTTCCCTGCTTTAATTAGAGTAAAAAAAATCATGCAATGCTATTTGGGGGGGTACCATCATCCTTCCCCCATCTGATGACATCCTGAGTAACTGCTTTTAGGCAATAAGTCCAATTTGTTCTACTGTAATGATTGTTCTGGTGGTGAACCCAAATGTAGAGTATTCAAATACTTGGTAGATATCTATAAAGTGTTTATTACATATGTTATGTGCTATGACAATTTTTTAAAAAATACAGATACAATGTAAGGTTGTAATAATTTAGATTAGGACCTACTGGAAAACTAAAATATGGTTTTAAATGATAACATAGGTGGTGTGTAATTTTATTTCATACTGAACTGAATATATAACATTAAATACCAGAGTTCAAAGGAAGAAAACAAAATACATTTCTAGGCCAAACACATAAAATTTTAATCTAATTGTTAACATAACATACGCTTCAAACTTTAACAATATATAAAGACTAAGAAAAGTCTCCTTCTCTTTCCTGTCCCCAGGCACTCATTTTCTCTCTTCCAAATCAGTATTACTTATTTTCTGGGGGCCTCTAGGTGGCTCAGTCGGTTAAGTATCTGACTCTTGGTTTCAGTTCAGGTCATGATTTCATGTTTCATGAGCTTGAGCCCGGCATCAGGCTTTGCAATGACAGTGTGGAGACTGCTTGGGATTCTTTCTTCCTCCCTCTCTCTCTCTGCCCCTTCTGTACTCTCTTTTTCTCTCAAAATAAACTTAAAAATATTATTTTCTGCATCTTTCTAGAGTTACTTTATACATACACAAACAAAAATATATGTAATATAACCTTTATTTTACTCAAATGTAAACACTAATATGCATAATTCTCAATACCGTGTCCTTTATACTTAGCATACATCTTTTTTTTTTTTTACAAATAGTTTATTGTCAAATTAGTTTCCACATAACACTCAGTGCTCATCCCCACAAGTGCCCTCCTCCATGCCCATCCCCCCCTCCCCCCCATCCATCAGTCCTCAGTTTTTGTCAGCATTCAAGAGTCTCTCATGGTTTGCCTCTCTCCCTTTCCCCCACCATTTCCCCCCTTCTTCTCCCCCTTGTTCCTCCATCAAGTTCCTCCTATACGTATACTTAGCATACATCTTAAATATTTTTCTTATCAGAATATAAAGAACCTTGTTACTGTTTTAGTACCTATATAATAGCCCACAATATGGGTAAGTCGCTTAATTAATCCTCTATTTATATTTACATTGTTTCCAAATTTTTGCTGTTACAATGTTGTAATGAAAGATCTTGTAGATAACACTTTTTCACATGTGTGTGAACATATCTATAGGATAAATTCCCAGAAACAGAATTGCTGGGTCTACTACTTGTCTTAGCCTAGGTTCTGCCAAATCCTGAACCTGAGAAATAGGCTTGTATGCAAAGAGTTTATTTTGGGAAGTGATCCCAAGACAATCTGAGGCATTAGGAGAATGAAACATACCCAATGTTTTCTAGCTTCCTGCTACTCAGTGTGACCCACAACCATCAGCATCCCCTGGAGCTTTTTAGAAACATGCACTCTCAAGCTCCACCTCTGACTTACTGAATTAGAATCTGCATTTAACCAAGATCCTGAAATGTTTTGTATATATATTAAAGTTTGAGAAGCACTGATACAGTATTCACCATCATAGGTAACTGGGGCTCAGTCTCACGGGGGCCCTCTGAAGAGCCACAAAGAATGCACCTTGATTATTCTGCCCAAGGGACAAAACAGGAAAACATAACCAGTGACTCCAATCTCCCATTAGTCAAGTCTTGTCCCTTGGGCTGTTAACTTCTTTCTACTTCCAGGTTTGCATATGTATCAGAATTGCTGAGTTGTAGGTATCCTGTGTGGAGTGATAGTGAAGCCTTAGGACAAGAAATGAGAAAGAAGTGTGATGTGGCTGAGGGAAAATGCTGTCAGACTCCATGCATATGAAGCTGTATGCTGCAGCAATGATTGGAGTTCACACATCGGCCAAGAGGATATGAGGTGGGGCACCAGAAGTATCCTAAACACTGCCAATATATATTCGATGAAGGGCTGTTTTCCAAACTGTAGATTTCTCTCCTAGCAACCTACAGAAATATTTTTAGTGGCTTACAATCCGCGTTAGAAAACAAAACAAAAAAAGAGAGAAAAGAGAAAAACAGGAAATATTAGTACATCATGTAATAATGGTAAGTATTCTTTTGTGAAACTTGTTTTAGTTTTCTATGTGTGAGTGTACTGAGTTACAATGTAAAAGGAAATTCTCACTCTTGGTCACAGTGAACAAAGTTTGAAAAACACAGCAAAAGATGTGCTAATTTATACCCTTCCCAGGAATGAATAAAAGCACTTCTTCCTTACATCCTTATTAACATAGTACACATTCCCTTATTCTTTTCATTATAAAAGACATAAAATGGTTTGATACTGTAATTTTCATGTCATTTCTCTTAAATGAAGTTGAGGATTTATTAATCAAATTAAGAGGTATTTGTATTGTCTTTGTAAACTACCTAATTTCGTCCTATTTTTAAAAACAATTTTTTAACGTTTGTTTTTATTCTTGAGAGACAGCATGAACAGCAGAGGCGCAGAGAGAAAGACATAGAATCTGAAGCAGGCTCCAGGCTCTGAGCTGTCAGCACAGAGCCCGAAGCGGGGCTGGAACTCATGGACCATGAGATCATGACCTGAGCCAAAGTTGGACGCTTAACCGACTGAGCCATCCCTCGTCCTATTTTTTAAAATCAACTTGTGGGAATTCTTTATATTAGGAAAACTGGCATCAAAAGTATAATATTAACTGTCATTTATCTTTTGACTTTGCTTGGTTGTTTTCACTAAATAAAGTTTTGTGTTTTTATGTCATCAATTTTTTAAGCCTTCTGAATTTTATATCCCTACCCTCCTGTCAAGGTTATAATTCCCCCAGGGTTTATTGCAGTATTTTAACAGCTATTTTTTAATTCACACTCAAACTTTGATCTATTTGGAATGTATCCCTTGTGTAC